AGTGACTCACATTTTCCTTCAATCCATAGAGATCCAGGATTTTTCTTCGAATTCATGGAACCGGCCACCATTGAGAAACCAGTTTCCAGTGCCTTCGTGATGCAGTTTCTGCATCGCATGTTGTTTCCTCGCCATATCGGGAGGGAATTCCAGCCATTCTCGAAGTTTTTTTGCAAGTCTGGGATCAATTCAGTGTCCAAGCAATTAGCACGATATTTAACTGACGCTGAGATTTGGACCTCACTCAGGCCAATCTGAATCTCGATACCACGCTTGATCTAGCGAAGAAATAACTATGGCAATGGAGAGATCTGGAGGAGCACGTGCTCACAATGAAACGGCTTGCAAAGGAGTCTAGTTCACTCTCGAGAGCAGTCCACCGACCTGCCCATTCCTCCTGGTTTACAGCCCTGAGTGCCCTGTTTTGCCCATCGAAGCCAGAAATTAGTGCCGATGCCTTGGCAAGGAGTCTAGACTGATTGTTAAGCTTGGTCACAATAGCCCGATGAACAAAAAACCAACCCAGCATATTCCTCAGCGTCTTTCCTCAGACTCCCAGTAATCTGTTCGGCATCCAGCCTCGTTTTCGCTTCATCAAGGTCCTTGGTTATTTTTCCCAGCCGAGTATTTAGCGTGTTTCGATTTTCACCCATATCCTGGATTTCCTGCAAAACAAAGATTGAGGTGGTGCGACTCAGTAAAATATTCGCCCTACCTTGCATGTTTTCAAGATCTCGGACAGAAGCGCAGCGACAGGAGCGATGACAGGGACCTTATCAACCACCTTGGCAATTTTCTCGACAATATTGGCTGCAAGAACGAGATTATTGAAATTGAGTACAGAATTTGGGTTGTTGGATGTTTCGCTATCGACATTGGGCGAAGCATGGGCCGAATTGCTTGGCTCCTCTTTTACCCCGGTAAACTCTGCATCAATCGCATTGTTCTGTGGCAGGCCGTTGAGCGAGACACGTGTGAGCGGACCAGCATTCGTGTGGCTCACCTTCTTTTTGGTTTTGAGCCGTGCCCAACATCCACAACGGGGTGAGTCAACTGATCTGGCAGGACTGCCCTCCCTGGTTACGCTTGTATCCCGGTGAGATTTAACGAAGAGACTGCGGAGAGCTTTCATCGTGGTTTAGGAAGAAGAGGTGAGCCGACTTAGACGTCGCAGTGACAGAACATGTGGATTGTGCGTTCTTGGAACCAATTTAGAACCGGCACAGAAGCCACTTCCGCGGCAAGGATGTAATAAAATCACACTGGCCAAGTGACCCTAAGGCGTGCCTGCCACGTGCACTATAATGGAATAATAATCTTGCGTGATCAGGCATCACTGGCTTTCAATGTTCATTCCAACTGTATTGTATATCCAGGTAAGAAGATTTTACACGATATGGATTCGGTGGCGAATGGTCCGTGTTTAACGGAGAGGTCCAGCGGCAGGCGCCCGTTCGATTCGGACCCGAGTTATTGATCTTGATTAGGTCTGCTCTCTTTTATTTTGATTCCCTGAATTTCTTTACCATTGAACTTTAATTCAATCTCTTCAAGTAGCTACATCTTGCGCTGAATGGTTTAGAAAAATTTCTAGACTCCAACTGTATTTGCATAGCTTTGCCTCTCTTTGGTTATGTCGACGCGCAGCTCACGTGCTGCTCTCTTCTCGCTTCCACCTCCGATTCTCAAGACTGGCGCTTACGACCCTCGCTGACATAGCTGTAATTCCAATGTACGCAGTACCTGGGACTGTGACACCTTCCCGACTTCTTTAACGATATTGCGTCGTTCTTGTTCCAGCTCCCGACGGATGGTGCGGACGACATCATGATCTTGCCGCTTCCTGCGCGATCTCGACCTGATCGCGGGGAGCAGGGTCATGTCTTGACTCCGAGAGTTGTGAATGGTAACTCGGATGAACATCGCCGCCGCGCCCGCTAACAAGAATATGATACCTTCGCGCGAAAATACGTGTCCATCGATTGTTGATGATGCTACCCCAAAGCAACGGTGCGTGTCCGGACGTCATTTATGGAGTTCATTGCTAACATCGAGAACCGCCATTACACAGTCGGTCCCGGCGCTAATGCCAAATCCACTACGCATACGTACCCGGATCTTTGCACTGTACACCATACGTTCGGTATCCTTCCCCGACGTACATTTTGTTTTCACCGTTCCAGCTCCTGACGGACGGCGGAGAATTCCTTCGCGATTTTGAGCTGCTCACGGCGGTAAACGACGAGGGGTATCGCGCGCGGACAAATATGCAGGCTGCTTCCGCCAATACCGTGCTCAAGGACAAGATGGCTGCGTGCGAGACAACGTCCATCGCTTACTGATGATGCTATCCTGAATGCACGGTGCGTGTCCATATATCATTCACCGACCTTAATTAAGATTACCATTACACGCCCTTGCGGTGCTGAACCCGTAAAGTCAGCGTCCCCGTCACTGTGCCGAATACTTACACCGTTACGCCGCACGCGGCGCCACCCAGATTGAAGCAGGTACGTCCTCGCTGTCGTTCGCGCGCGTAATTGGTGAAATTCACGCCTTTTTTTATCAGGCATCCGTGCGTGAGGGAGCGAGCGACGAAGGTGCGTGCGGAATCGATGTCGGTCGTGAGCGCGTGAGCAGGTGCATTCATCAATGCCGTGACTTCTGAAGCTACGTTGTAGCAGCTGTCCGGGGTAAGTCTTTTTTTGCCCTTTCCCACTCCCAGCTCCGTGGCAACGCGTCAGTACCCTGCGTTGGGCCTGGACGCTGAATACTCACGCATGTCTACAGATACATATGAAGAGTGGTGCTGCCAATATGAACATGTTCATCGTCTTGGGTGTCGAGTGGGAACGGTGTATGCAATGACCCTGGTATGTTCTCTACTCAAAGGCGAGTATGTATTTACAATTGTCTCGTATCAAGGCTAGCGAATGTCTACTGCACCGACTTGGTGGCGAATGTCGTGAGCAATTCATGCTCATTTCCGCGGAAGCCGTCCGTTTGATTCGGGCCCGAGTCATTGGTACGCCCAGTCTCTTTTTTGCTCCTTCTGCGCCAGCCCGATCTTCAGTATGTTGGCTTCTCGAGCACGACAGGTGGGCTTTTCATTTCGCTGTCTTGGCGCTCTTCACTGCTCGGCGCTCACCTATTTTTTTTTCTTTCGCAATATAATAGCGCACTTCATCCCAGCCAACGCGATTCTTTGCTGGTCGCATTTATTCGACATAATACCAAGGTTAATACCGACTCGGTGGCGGATGGTCCGGGTTTGCCAGTTATCTATCCGTCTCGACCACCATTCAGCAGAAATCACCCGTTCGATTCGGGGCCAAGTTATGACAGTTCAGATTCCTTCCCCCCCCTCCCCTCCCCATCTGTTTCCGCTGCATCTGCAGACGTTGGCATGATCGTATACGCTTCCCTTGTGACCTTCGACGGTTCAGTGGAAGCCACCCGTTCGATTCGGGTCCGAATTATGATATCCGGACATTCTTTTAAGATTATTCGCTCTCCTCCCCACACTCATACTTTCTCCAATTCTTCTGGGCCTCGGTCCCGCAAATTTACAGCATGTGGTCGTGTCGGTGACGCCTTTTGTTCCTCCAAGATCATGTTCGAACGTGATTTCGAATTTCCTGTCTGAGCATTTATCCAGGGCTGAAGGAGTATCAATACCGATTCGGTGATGATGGCTCTGCAACTGCTCCCCTTACTCTCCGCACCATGATTGTCGATTTCTGGAATCTATGTGACTTGGCTTCTTGCTGGAACCAGGACCGAAGCACTTCTGGAGACTAATGATTCGATACTGTGGAGGCGGCGCCAGTAAGTGCATCTCCTTCAAGTGGCACTTCCTTCTGATTGCGCTTCGTTCAGAGGATTCCCCGCTGGTCGCCTTCGCGGCGCGCTGCTCGTCGTTGCAAACTCGGCTCCAGCTCACTGCACCAGGGAAGTCCACTGGAACGCCATGAGGTCACGCCGGAACCTCGCCGCTGGTCGTGTAAACACTAGACGAGCGCAACGTTCAAAGGCAGGCTTGTACCACCCATCCCTGCTACAGGATGTTTCCCACTCGCTTAGCGACCCTCAGCGTCATCTCCCCTTACCGCTCTTGCAGTTAGTAACGGCAAGCCTTGGTGCTGCGTCCCAGGCGGCCAATATAACGAATTTGGACGGTATCGTAAGTTTTTGTTTACACTCCCTATTGCACGTATGTTCAGCACCCAGCGAACTCGGAATGGCAGAGCGCCAAAATGCCCCGATCGAGGCGTGAGTACCAATACACAAAGATAAGTGTTTATTTGAAATTAATCACATCGCCCTACGCTTGCAGGGAATGTCCACTGTAAAGACTCGGTGGCGAAGGGTATCGCATCCACTGCATGTACTGTATGTTCCAAGACCATTTCCGCGGAAGTCGCCCGTTCGATGCGGACCCGAGTCATGCACACGGTTGCTAAAAAAAAATCGCTCTCTTCTGTGCCAGGTCGATATGATTTTGGTGACTGCCAGATGACAGGTGAGCGTGTCATTTTGCTATTTTTCGTGGTGCGCTTTACGTCTCGGTGCTCACCCCATGTTTTCTTTGGTACACATCATTCCGAGAGAGCGAATATTTCTGATCCCTTATGCAGGGTACGTCCAAGGTCAATACCGACTCGGTGGCAGATGGTCTGCCTCTGCCAAGTTTGAAAATGTAGGTCGCGTACTTATTTAGCAGAACTCGCCCGTTTGATTCGGGCCCGAGTCATACTCCCGTACCATGGCATGTTGCTTTTTTTGGATCTGTGGCTCTCCTGAGTCTCCTCCCGAGCACCGATTAATTTCCCTCGTTCCTCTGAGAATCTGTGCTACACTTGTAAGTTGAACATTGACTTCACTTTCAAATTCGTTCAGATTAAGATTCTGCCACGTACTGAATCTACCTGCAGGTCCATTCCCAGCCACCACGACTCTTTCTGATCTCATTCATGCAGGGTACAACCAAGGCCAATACCGACTCGGTGGCGGATAGCCCGTGTCTGCCAAGTTTAATACAGACACTCATGGCCAGTTCAGCAGAAGTCGCCCGTTCGATTCGGGCCCGAGTCATGCATACAGTAATTAACCGGGAAGCGAAACGCTCAAGCGAATTCGCAATTCCCGGGCCGAGATTGCATAAAGTTGTTGGGGATGTCTTCATAGATCGATAGAGATGTGTCAGGGGTACCTGGCAATATATAGTTTTATAGGGAAATGCTGTGTTTTGATTGAGAATGAGACCATTCTTCTACAAACATCCGATTTTGCAGAATCACGTGGAAGCGAAACACTGCAAAATAACCTGTGGGCCGCCGTTCGTTGCAATCCAGCCCAAGGGGTGTTTATATTCGTGTTCTAAGACCTTGAAAACTCCCAGTTCACGCCTTTGCAGGAGGAATTGCGCGCCCGAAATACCGTGCCTCTGACGGATTATATCCAACAAAATAGGCCAAAAAATAGCGAACACAAAGCGATCTGCCACAGGTTCTACAGAGTCTTTTTGCGCAATTCCTTTTAATATGAGCCACTTCTCATGGCTAACTATCCTCTCACAAAAACTGGGGCCCGTCGGATGCCTGGGATCCGGGAAAAAGCCGGTGTTTCGCTTCTACGTAGTGTTTCGCTTCCCGGTTAAATACTGTATGTATAGTGAGTGTGGTTTTCTTTTGGAATTTTACCCAGCAGCGACTCCCCCCCCCCCCCCCCCCCCCCGTGCACGTGCACTCGTTACGCTTGTAAGTTGAAACCTGAACTCGAGCACTTTCTGATTTCATTTTTTAATATTAAACATTCTGCGAAGGCAGGAAAGGTACTGAATACCGACCAGACGCGCGCACAGCCGATGCGAATACATCTGATCTCATTTGCGCAGGATACAGCCCATGCCCTAGTGTTGAAAATGCGAGGTCGTGTGCGGCATCAATGGCAGAGCGGCAGGGCCGAGATCACCGCATTTGATGGGATGTTGAGTAGTGTCGTATCGGGTTGAAATGTGCCACAGGTGACAATACCGTTGTCAAGGGCCGGGAATTAGCCGAGTGTAATATTGTGGCGTAGGTAACAGTGTTGATTCCGAACCCCGAGATTCAACGAGAAAAACAAAAAACAAAAGCATTGACTTGCACCGGGAGTTGTTGCAAAGACTCTGACAATAGGGAAGTGTATCTCATACGCCACCCATTCGACTCGGACCTGAATCATCTTGTTCCTCGTTCGTGTTCGAAGGAAGTTTGAGCGTCAAGAAGACTAGAGAGCAGATGAAGGAGGAAGCCAAGAAGCACCACGTCAGTGACGTCACGACATGCCGAGGGCGGTGCCGGGCTGGTGTGCCGGGTTCAACCGGTACCTCTTCCTTCTTACCGTCATCTTCTCATGCTGGGAGTTACCAGTACGACTCGGTGGCGAAGGGAATCGCATCCGCTTCATCTGCGTGAATGGCGCCGGAAGTTCCTCAGCGGAAGTCTCCTGTTCGAACTAGGCCTGAGTCATGCCACGCCAATGGCACGCCCTTTTTGCCTCGCTCTTTAAGCTTCAACCTCTCGACTTTCTTTCCCAGTCACCCGCTTCCTGCCGTCTATGACCTGCTCTCATCGGTGCTCCTGGACAACATCCATCGCAGAGGACCTCAATCATTCCGCACCTACACTGAATTCGAGCTCCAGTATATTTCCAGCTGGACTAATTTTCCCTCCTGGTTATGGTACATTCAGACTGAATACCGACTCGGTGGCGGACGGTCCGCATCCGCTCAACGTATGCGTTACACATGGCTTACGCATAAGGCGCCCATTCGACTCGGGCCCGAGCCCCTATTAATCCCTGACTCCTCGTACTCGTTCTTCCAGTGCTGCGCTTTTCCATCCAACCCGCGTAGTTTCATTATCTGGCCGTGAACGCTCCCTCGGCCGGGCTAGTATGTACTTTCATCCACGACCCCGGACGCAAGTATTGACTTCGCCCATTCCGAATATTCAGGTCGAATGAAGTGCGTCGACGACTCGGCCGTCCATACAGCTTATTTGGACGATATCAAACAGATCACGGCCGTTCGATTTGTGCACAGGTCATCCGCTCCTTCTCGAAGGTTTTTGTAATTGTCACTGCCGCGAGCTTCGTTTTTATTGTGTTATTTCAAGCGCCACATTTCCCGTACACATACGACCAAATCCCAGTAGATGGTGCCGAATCATAGGGGTTCTCCGCAAGCTCTCGCCTCGTATGTGCCCGCCCATGCCATGAATCCTCCCGCATTTTGATTGGAATTTAAATTCCTCATCCCTCATGCACGATTTGACTGATTCCAGTTTGCTCGCATATCCATGCTTGTACCGACTCGATGGCGGAGGGTCCGCATTCCTGAGTCCCTGTTGCATGCAGCAGCGGGCGCCCGTTCGACTCGGGCCCGAGTCATGCGTTTCCTCTTGTACGTTTTTCCCTCTGATCTTTCGCGTACTTTATTATTTTGAACGGCGTGTGTGAATCGGTGCTTTCATTGAATCCTTGAGCTGGTATGCTCGTTACACCGCGCTAATATTTAGCAACATAACTGGTTTCAGACAGCCTCCGGTCAGTTGGTGCCCTCTTGGTGCTCATCTTCCTCATCTCATGCCACATTTAATATCACTGATCTTCCTTAGCAGAGCAGTTCCGAGCCTGATGCCGACTCAGTAGCAGAGGGTCTAGTTCCGAAGTCGCTCGTTCAACTCGGGCCTGACTCATTTTTACTCGAACGATTTGTTTTTCTTTCAAGATTCATTTCGCCCTCCTTCCCAAAACCAAATTCTGCGAAGCCCTTAGTATGTGACGAACATTGGCGAAATAAATCAAACTCGAGAGAGAAAAAAACAGCCACCTCCCCTGAGATATGACTCAGTCCTGAATTGAAGGGGCACCCTCTGCACAGAAAACTGGGTCGTTTTCGCAGAGAACAATCGTGTCCGATAATTTCGGTTCATTTTTCGCGCGGCTGCACGTCGCTCGAAGAGGTTACATTTGTTCAGGGCGGAAGAGGTGTTAGTACCGACTCGGTGGCGGATGGTCCGCGCCTGTGCCATCTTGCCAGTGAATGAGAGATTTCTCATGCAAGAACCGCCCGTTCGATTCGGGACTGAGTCATTTGAGGATGAAGTTTCGTTTTTTTCGTTTTCTCAACGCCTGTGGTCCGCGACTCGCGTTTATCTTCATGCACCGCTGGCAACTCTATTTTGGAATCCTCATTCACGCCTGGGCGACTCAAGGGCAAACAGGCACGAGTAGGAGTTGGGATTGCGCGAGTAATGAGTGAAAGCTGCAAGGATTCGCAACTGCGACTTGAAAATCAATCTTTAGTTGAAGTTGACGTCGGCGTCCATGTGGAGAAGAAAAAGGTCAGAGACATAGGCAGAACTCACAAATGTTAGATAAAATTTTCAAGAAATATCTACAATACGACATGCATCCTGTTGATATCTAGCACAGGCCGAGTTTCCGCCCCGGTTATTCCCCCGAGCGCACTCGAGGGCCCGGAAGACAAAATCAGCTTGCGCTCAATGTAGTCAGTAGCGTAGATGGGGGCGCAGGCCAGAAGTCCGGCTTGCTGTGCTGCTTCGTGGGCATGTATCCTTCCCCGTACCGCGAGCTCCCCGCGAGCACTATCTACACTCGCCGAGGAAGGGCACAACTTCCCCTAGCGAGCTCTGCATTTGAAGCGTACGCTCCGTCTGCATGCTCGCCCGCGCATCCTGGCCCTGCCGCTCAGGCTGGGAAGACCAATTGAGCGACACGGGAAAATTATTTCGAACGGAATGAAGATACAGGTACAAGACATCTTGGGCGTCAGCACAAGCATGCTCTCTGCACGGAAAGAATCACCGCCTAGTCCAAGCGGAAGCACGGCATTGGCGGTTGGATATCGGCCTTGAGACACCTCCAAGTGACACGCAGCGGAGGATGAGAAAGTAAGCTGGGATGGGGACGCGGAAATGAAAAGAACGCGGCGGCACGGACAAATGAGCAGAAAACAAAAGGAACCACCGAAGGAAAGGTGATAGAAAAGAAAAGATGCAGAAAGAAAAGACGGAGATGAACACATGAAAAGCGAAACTCCGCGCATGAGCGGCGAGCGGACGTCAAAACGAAATGGCGGATCAAAATCTGCGCCGCAACTGCATGAGAACACCTGAGAACACCTGTGCGCGTCATTCCCGAAAAGTCCCTGTCTGACCATGGAACACGTCACTGTCCTGACCCGCGGGCCACAGCGAGACCTTGCGCGCCGCGCCCACACCGCGATGGACGCCGCCAGAATAACCACCCGCTCACAGGGTGAACGACCCATCTACGGGGTTGCAGTCGCGCGCAGAAAACATTGACGTGCCTCTAGCACGCTCTACTCTACTGCCAACAGCGGCGACAGCACAAACCCGTGCGCCCACCCCACGGTAGACGTCCATACACCATGGACGCCGGCAGAGGTGATAGACGCCACCCATCGGTGCAGCGGAATCAGAGGGCGGTGCAGTCAGGAGAGCGTAGACCCCCACGCCGATGCAGAGGAAAGGAAAGCAGACGCCGGCACGCGGTATAATGAACGCGCGGTGAGCACAGGAGGTAGACGCGCAGCGCAGACACCGCAAACACGCGCAGGGATGATAAAGGCCCGCGCACGGTGACCTTGACTGTGGTCACCGGCGCAGGGCGTAGGGTGCAGAGGGGAGCAGCCCAGGCAAGGTCACACAATGGGGTTGGGGTTCGCGAGGAAGCGATGACGGTCGGTGCTGCTGCATCCAAAGGGATTCGATTGCGAAATTGACGGCTCGGAGCGATGCGTTTGAGGAGTGGATCCGAATTCACGAATAGTGCGTATTCGTGGGAGGAAGCTCGAGGTCGAGAAAGGGCAGAGTGTGGAAGGAAGACATGGCGCGACTGCTGACCAATGCTGGGGGCGGTGCCGGCCTGGCGTGCCGGGTTGCCGGTCCCTCTTCCTTCTCACCCTCATCATCTTGCGCTGGGACTTACTGCCGCGACTCGGGAGCGAAGGGTATCGCATCCGCCACCTGTGCACCCGATCCATTTGTTACAGCGGAAGGCGCCTGCTCGACTCAGGCCCGAGTCATTCCGTTGGGCCAGAATTTTTTTCCCTCGTCCTCCACTTTCTGTTTCAATTAATGTCGGAATCTGGCCCGCCTCCTCACGTCTACGAACCTTTTTTCTCCGTGCCTGGACAACATCCATCTCAGGGGACCTCAATCATTCCGCGCCTCCACCGAATTTGGGCTCCAGTGTTATTTCAGGCGGCTTAATTTTCCTGCGTTGTTCATGGTACGTTCAGACTCAATACCGACTCGATGGCGGAGGGTCCGCATTGCCTTTGTTCAAGGTATAACCATGGAGTCAGCAGAAGACGCCCGTTCGACTCGGGCACGAGTCATGTCATGGGAAAAATCTTGGACATTTTTATTCTTGTTAATATTCTTACCGCCCTCTTATATGTTTTGCCCCTTCTTCCGGGAACCCATGTTGCGCGTTTCCAGTGCCTTTGCTCAGAACACCGAGCCTCCGAGTCGCTGGTGCTCGTCAGTATTTCACCCATGATGCAATTTTTTCTCATAGGTTGCTTGGTTATCCAGGTCATGAGAGATGCCTGTACCGACTCGGTGGCGGAAGATCCGCATCTGCTGCTGATAGAAGGGGTCTATTCCAACCTTGCAGGCAAATGACGCCCGTTCGACTGGGACTCGGGAGACTCGTGCATTGTCTATTTTGCACCTGATATTTCTTGGCCAGGCTTCCACTCCAAGATGTTGTCTGTTCTGGTATATTGAACATAGATTTTACTTCGACAGTGATCCTGCTGGCAATCAACGTGGTACGAACCAGCTTGTGCTAAGTTACAAACTCACTTTCGGCATTGCTTATGCGGGGTAAGTTCAAGCCAAACACCGATTCGGTGGGATGGCCCGCATCTGCTTCAATTGGAAGTCTTCCCGCGCAATATTCATCGCAGAGGACCTCAATTATTTCGCGCCTCTTTCCAGCCAAATTGATCTTCCTGCTTTACTCATGGTAAATTCATACTGAATACCAATTCGGTGGCGGCGGCCCGCAGGCAAAATCCGCTCGACTCGGGCCCGAATCATTGACAAGATGAGGTGGATTTTTTCTTCTGTTTCTCAGTTCCTGGTAGACACCCCCTCAGTTCTTTTTCAGGCCTATCAATGTCCAGCTAGTCCGAAATATCTGACACCCAAATATCAGAGCATCAACCTTCCGCCCCAACCACACTGGACTTGAATGATCTGGTGTCTACATCGAGCTTGGCTTGCCGAGTTGCTGAACGCCATCCTTGGCTCTTACCTTCATCGTTTTTGGCGTGCACTGGGATCTATTGCAACGACTCGGTGGCGAAAGGTTCCGCATCCGCTCTGCCTGTGTTTTGAGTATCTCCCGGTGTTCCGGCGGAAGGCGTCTGTTCGAATCAGGCCCGAGTTATGCAATATCTGCCTGTCGGATTTTTTCTTTGCCTCTTGCTTCGTGTCTCGTCTCATTGTCGGATCTGTCCTGCTTTCTCCTCGTCCAGCCGACCCGCCTGTCCCAGGCACTCTTCGTTGCAAAGGACTTTACTCTGTACCTCCGTCGATTTCGTCAGTCTTCAGGAATCAGCATTATTTCCGCCGGATTATTTTCCCCTCTTGGATATGCTACGTTCAGACCGAATACCGACTCGGTGGCAGACGGTCCGCATCTGCTGGCTATGTTGGCGTCGGATTCCCACTTACACGCAGACGTCGCTCGTTCGACTCGGGCCCGAGTCTTGATCGACTTCATGATCCAGTTCATTTTCTCTTTCCTTTTGTTAGCTCCCTTCTCCCAGCGTTCAAATTTTCCTTTTTTTTTTGTCATCTGGCTCGCGTATTCGTACACAACGCATCGCTTGTTTTCATTGGCATTCCACGATCCGCGATTTAACACTGACTTTCTTCATTGCAGTTTGCTAGAATATCTGCGTCGATGGCCATCTCCCGACTCGGTGGCTTATTTTTGAGGTCCATCGATGTTCTCGTAAGTCCCGAGTGTTAACTAATGCATGACTCCCCCACCATTCCCCGATGCGCGTGTACCCCTTTACTCTCAGCCAGAATGAGCTTTCTGATCTTGTTTATTCAAAATACATTCAGATCAGATTACGATTCGGTGGAGGACGTTCCGCCCCTGCTATCCTTCCCGCATCTCGAGCAGGAGACGTCCGTTCGACGCGGGCCCGACTCATTACCAGAAAGAGTCGTTCTTTTCTCTTTCGCGGTTGCGAGCTTGTACCGCTCACCCCAATTATAGTTTAGGTCTATCGGTCTCGAAATGCGGTGCTGTGAATTGTCGCATGTTGGTTGTCGCCACTGCAGAGTGCGGACTCAGTGGCGGACGTTCAGCATCTGCCTACGTTATGAGTGTGGCATAGAGTATTATGCAGAAGGCACCCGTTCGCCACGGACCTGAGTCATAGCAGGCTTTGTTGTTGTTTTTAGATTTTCAACTCCCTCCAAAGTAATATTCCTTCCGGAATCTGTCTCATTCATTTGTGGGGTTTAAATATGTGCTCCCGGCTGCGAAACTTTGCTCATGCCTCTGGGTATTTTATCCTTCAAGTTACCACTCGGATATTGCACGCGCCCGCTCTATTCCCAACCAGTCCGAATTACCACATGCCCCCTGTCCTAGAACTCACAACGTGCATTGCCAGGATGTTTGTCAGTGATAATACATCACCGGACTTTGTGAACTGCCGGCCTACATCAAATGCCGCAGGATATACAAGCTTTTCCACTCTTACACGAGCAGTAAGCACATGGTCTACGTGTTTACGTACGAGAGACGAACAATTCAACAGAGGTGAGGAGAGCAGTCCATCGCCGTAGTCTGTAGACTGCCACGCTGTAACACAGTGAAGACTTTGTGGAAATTCTAGAAAACCCATACCTTATCAATTGCTGTTGAACCACGGGCACAGCTCGCAGTCGTTGTTCGGAAGCATCGGGAATTCCGGGCACGGTGAGAGTACGGGCGTCTGGAGATTCATTCGAACCCTGCCAAGGTTGAATCCGACGATTTGACGTTGAGGACTGAGAGCGAGGACAGAGGTGAAAAGAAGGGGATAAGCTGTATGGGGGTGTAACAATTTCAAAAGACATCCGCACGAAAACCGTCCAGAACGCAGCAGATGATTTCCCGGTGGAAGGAACTGTTTCTGAAAGCGTCGAGTTCCGGAATCCCACTGCTGTAACTCGAACTCAGAGAGCGCACGCGTGGAAGTACCCGGTGGCCAAGCATCTTTCCTGCTAAATCTAAGAAGTTATTCTGCATAATTCTTCTTTGACTTGCACCGGGAGCTATTAAAACGACTCGGTCGTGGCGAAGTCGATCGCATAATGAAGACAGGGGCCAGAGTTATCATGTTTCTTATTCGTTAGAAGGAAGTTTGAACTATAGGAAGAGCAGAGAGCGGATGGAAGGGGAAGACAAGAACCAGACTCGGTGGCGAAAAGTATCGCGTCCGCTGCGCCTGCCTTCTAAAGCTCGAGCTTAACCAGCGGAAGGAGCCTGTTCGATTCAGGCCAGAGTCATGCCGCATGCGACCGATTCGAAGCTTTTGTTTGCACGCCAATTACACGCACTTTTTCGCCTGTCGACTTTATTTTCCAGCCACCTGCTTCCCGTCTATGACCTGCTCTCATCGGTGCTCCTGGATAACATCGCAGAGGACTTAAATCATTCTGTGCCTACAGTCACGCACCGAATTCGGGCTCGAGTATATTTCTAGCCCGATTAATCCCCCCTCGTCATGGTACGTTGAGACTGATATGGTTACAAACTCGGTGGCGGACGGTCCGCATCTGCTCGCGATGTGCTGCGGTAGACATAGTTTCCGTAGAGGGCGTCGTTCCACTCGGGCCCGAGTCATGGAGGAAAAGGATCCGCACTCTTTCTTTCCAGTGCTGATCTTTCTCAATCGGAGCCGCGTATTTCTATTATCTCGCCGTGAACCCTCCCTCGTCCGGACTGTTACTCCCATCCACGATGCACAATGCAGAAAATATTGACTTCGTGCATTCCGTGACATTTTTCTGGAATATTCAGGTGGAATGAAGTGCTTTCGACGACTCGGTGGCAGACGGTCCGCATCTGCGGCAGATAAATACTGAAATGACAATGTCAAGAAGAGCGCGCCCGTTCGACTCGGACCCGAGTCATCAACTTGTTTTGGACGTTCTGATATTTCGCAGTTGTCGCCGCCGCTAATTCGAGTTTTTCCAGGCGGAACCTTTTCCGAAAATCCAGAAGATGGTGCCGAGTCATATCGGGTTATTCGCAATGCGACTTCTGGATCTTGAGCCCTCTCTCGTATGTGCCCTCCATGCCATGAATCCTCCTGCATTGATTTGCATTTAAATTTCTCATTCCCATGCACGATTTGACTAATTCCAGTTTGCTTGCACATCCATGATTGTACCGACTCGGTGGCGGACGGCCCGCGTCTGCAAGTTGTTCTTGATTCTGAGTTTGATGCAGCAGAAGGTGCCCGTTCGACTCGGGCCCGAGTCATGGGTTACCCAATTGTATGTTTTTCCTCCCTGATCTCTCGCGTGCTTATATTATTTTAACGACGGGTGTGAATCAGTGCTCACTAAATCTTTGAACTGGTATGCTCGATCATATTTGACAGCACCTGAGTTCCGTCAGTTGCTGCCCTTTTGGTGCTCATGTTCTTCATCTAATGCCACGCTCTCGTCTGCATGTTGTTCTTGATCCTGAGTTTGATGCAGCAGAGGGTGCCCGTTCGACTCGGGGTCCAGGCATGGGTTACCCAGTTGTCTGTTTTTCCTCCCTGATTTCTCGCGTGCTTATATTATTTTTAACGACGGGTGTGAATCAGTGCTCTCACTAAATCTTTGAACTGGTATGCTCGATAATATTTGACAGCACCTGGGTTCTGTTAGTTGCTGCCCTCTTGGTGCTCATGTTCCTCATCTAATGCCACACTCTCGTCTGCACTCGAATGATCCTTTCTTCTTTCAAGGTTCGTTTCGGCCTCTTTCTTCCGAAGACAAATTTCTGCGAAGCCCTTAGTAAGTGACGAACATTGGCGAAATAAATCAAATTCGAGAGAGAGAGAAACAGCCACTTCCCCTGCGATATGACTCAGTCCCGAATCGAACGGGCGCCCTCTGCACTCTCGCATGGCTAAAGTAGGCAGAAGCGGACCATCCGCCACCGAGTCGGTAAGTACTTACCCTGGAAGCACGCTGCATGAGTAAGATCAGCGCTGGGAACAGAGCGGAGGCAACATTTTGAGTGGTGGATGCCAGCGCGCAGGACGAAATTCGAGAACAGAGCACGAGGATTTGAAGGACATGTACCTTGCGATTGGCCGCAGTCTATCACCTCTATGGTGCACTGTGGAACTTGAGGAATCAATTCAATCGATTCCGGTTGAACGTTGAACATTGAACCATGGAATTCATCAGCATAGCTCGCAGGTTCGAACTTCGGAGTTATCGGAAATTCGGGCACAGTACATACGCAGCGGGTCATTTGACCGGCGTAAGAAAACGGATCATATTCACCGCTTGACACAGGGCTTAATTGGTTTAATTTGCCCCTTACGCGTGCTCCGAGAGCATGTGGGGGGGGCACTTGTCTTTTTCGTTTACAGGAGAACCCAAAAGATTTCGTAAGTGGGGATCACCATCCAGCCCCGCGTCTTGTCCATTCGAGTTTTTCCATGACGACCAGATCTGCCGATGTTTGCCGATCTGCAGCAGATCTGCCGCAGGTTTCCGCATACGGACTTTCACTGGGTGTGATCGCCGAAAGAGATGACCGATCAAAAAATACGATATAAAAGAGTGTTACGAGAATCCCATGCCGGTACAATTGCAAGGCGGATTTGGGTTCCATGCACACCATAATGTGAGCACATGTACAACAGTAATGGTCTCGATACTGTTCTGATGGGCAGGCACTCCAGACAGACGAAGTGTTTTATGTCCTTTCTGGCACGGTGATCATCGAACTTCAAGGCCTGGACATCGACAAGGTCGTGCTGAACAAAGGAGACGTGTTCGTGGTGCCTCGGGGTGTTCAACATCGACCCGTGGTGGAGGAGGGCATTGCTGAAGTTCTGTTCATCGAAAAGACGGGGGTAGTGAATACGGGAGACGCCGTTGGTGCGGAGCACCTACTTAAAGGAGTAGAGGACGCCAGAGGATAGAATATAGAATTGCTTGGCAAGGCGTTGTGTTGTCGTGTTGCCCGTGCCCGTGACCGCAATCGATGGCTGTGCACAGGTGCGCATCAGCCTTCTTCAGCGACCTCCATCCTGCCTCCTCCTTTGCAGCCAGCGCATCGAAAATCAGTGTGCTCGCACCAACATTTGGTAGGAACTATTCTTTAGAATCCGTCCCACATCGATCAACATCTACGCAGCTCCTTCACGCCCCAATGGAATCTCTTTTCGAGAATCGGATCAATCCTATACCAACACCACGCACCAGGGCAGCAGAGCTCACGCATCAAGGCTGCGATTCAAGCGAAGGACATCGAAGAAATACAGATTCTTTTGAGCAGACTTGAGCAACAACGAGATGAGCTGAACAGATTCATTCACGCCCATCGATCTAGGGCTTGTATCCCCAGCACGCAGGCTACCCGCGGGCCGCAAGATCTTCAGCGCCTGAATGCCATTCGTGCACAATACTGTATTGAGTCACTTCTGCTCGATATTTCGCAGAAATATCCACCCCCAAAATGTATCACACCCACCTGACATTCTTTGACAAACCAGTTCCGAATCGTCCCACGTACAAACACTCCGTAGGTTCAAACTTCCGACAACTGACCTCGTCTTGGCACCCTTGGCGTGGTTTACAACTGAATTTCAAGAGCCTGGGTCCTCTATGGCTTGACGGGTTTGGGGGATCTCGCAAAAAAAAAGAGGTTCGCATTCCACCACCTACTCGCCGGACAATATCGTCTCACTCAGCCAAGATCTTGCCTCCGCTTTTCAAGAATGGGCAAGGATATCTATCCTTCTGCACTCTTTGTCTTCATCGGCCTCAAGCTCGAGAATGAACACCAGCATTAAATATGAGCTCCCTGTCCTGTTCGGAACCATACCGCTCACAGATCCTCCTCCGCCGCCTCCTCCTCGTCTTCATCCTCGTACTCTTCCTCGTCTTCCTCCTGTTCATTCTCGTACTCCTCCTCGTCTTCCTCCTCTTCATCCTCGTACTCCTCCTCGTCTTCTTCGTCTTCGTCCTCCTCCTCCTCAGAATTTTCATCTGTTCACAATAAGGTAAGCCAAAATAATTATGTTTCCCGTCGTCACTCACCAACGGCACCAACGGCACCATGCTCGTGCAGGAGCTGTACGATCGCTGTATAGCCATCCTCGGAGGCATCTTGCAACGGACTTCCATACTTGCCGCCCGACGCGTTGACGTCTGCGCCTTTCTTGAGCAGGAGCTCTACGATCTCTGTATGAGCCCAATAGGATGCGGCCCGCAACGCGGTGCCATAGCGTCCGCCTGCTGCGTTGACGTCGGCGCCCTTCTCGAGCAGGAGGCGGACGATTTCTTTCTTGCCTGTGACGCACGCTGCTTGTAACGCACTCCCATATAAACCACCGGTGGCGTCGACGTCTGCGTCGTTCTCGAGCAGTAATCGAACAACTTCCAGGCTCCCTGTATAGGATGCGGCCTGCAACGCGTTGCCATATTCCCCGCCCTCCGCGTTGATGTCAGCGCCCTCCATGAGAAGGATTCGAACAATTTCTGGGCTCCCGTGATAGGACGCGGCCTGCAACGCATTGCCATATTCCCCGCCCACCGCGTTGACATCAGCGCCCTCCTTGAGAAGGATTCGAACAATTTCTGGGCTCCCTCCATAGGACGCGGCCTGCAACGCAGTGCCATAGCTCCCGCCCTCCGCATTGACATCAGCGCCCTCCTTGAGAAGAATTCGAACAATTTCTGGGCTCCCTCCATAGGACGCGGCCTGCAACGCATTGCCATATTCCCCGCCCTCCGCGTTGACGTCGGCGCCCTTTTCGAGCAAGAGACGGACAGTTTCTGTATGACCTCCGCTGCATGCTGCTTGTAACGCACTCCCATGCTCGGCGTCCGCTGTGTTGACATCTGCACCCTTCTCGAGGAGCAGGCGGACGATATTTATGTGACCTAACCTGGATGCCACGCGCAAAGCAACCACTATGTCGTCCTCATGGGCATCTTTTTTGAGTAGAAGGTGCACTCCTTCTGTGTACCCAATTCCAGAACACAGGTGCAGCGGCGGTGGGCCATCGCGTCCCCAGCTTGGGGATCGCAAGGACTCCCTGTAGCTGTGCCATTCAGGACAGTGGAGGTGGTTCAAAGCGGCGTATTGGTCGCTTCCAGCCTCCAGGAGACGTATTGTCGATGCTTCTAGTGTGGCTCGGCCGTCGCAGCGCAGTAGGTGATAACTCCAATATTCTGCAGCGTACAAGGACAGTGGGTAATTCGGGAAGGTCTCCGCATTGAGGGGGTGGTCGGCAAAGTGGAGGAGATAGCCCACGCATGTTTGGGCAAGGAATGTGTGCGAGCATCCCTGGTTGAGATCACACTTGTGCCTCTTCGTGAATTGAGGAGACTTGAGGTAATCTGCGACGGATGCATGTGCCAGTCCCACCACCAGGGCGTCATCGGGATGGTCGTCATCCATCGGCACAGAGACAGTAATGAGGCCCTCCAATAACGAACACACTCTGTTCGCACAGTTGTCTCGTTGGGTGGGCTGAAATACATGTCGGTGGGGGTCTGAAAAGTCGAATGCAAGAGTGTCCTCGAGCTCGGTGAGGGTAAGTGGGCGGGCAGACCAGACGAGCCAGCGCAGAACCCTTTCCACAAAGACAAAATCATCTGCATGAATTGTTTCCAGGAATCGGTCGTAGATTTTAAATAGATCATCCGGCAGATTGGCCAGGATGGAGTCCAAGTTGGGATCCACTTTACGCCGGGACAATTCGGTAAGAAGACAATCAGCCAAGCGAAACCTGAAGTTTCAGAGGGTCAGCAAGTACAAAAGAGAGTCAAATTACAATCGGCGATGAATGGACTCACATCCCATTGCTCTTCTCCACAATCTTCGTAGTGATCTCCGCGGTATGCTTTGCCCAACGTTTCAATTTGAAGTTGGACTCGAGCTCGCTGGTCACAAAGGCTGCTATATCTGCCTGCGTAGTTTTGAGCTCGAGAGAAACATGCTCCACGCCCTCGAACGAGGCCGTGAACAGTTCGCGAGTTTGACTAGTAAACAAGAGGTGCAATGGGGTTTTGCTCCAAGCTCGAATCAGCGATATAAGCCGCACAAGATCGTGTTCCTTACACTCGTCGAGTGCGTCAAGAACGATATAGGTAGAGCTGAGCTCCAGAAGCAACTTTTCCAGGATATCTAGAAGATTCTGATAGGTTGGGAGAGTCTGTCCCTTTGACAACTTGTACTGCTGGTCCAGTGCTGCGTAAGTGTTGGGAGATTGCGCGGAAAGCTGTAGAACGATGGACCGCAGC